AATGAATAATTTACAGGATATAAACAGTAGAGTTGATGAAACAGAGAATCAAATTAGTGACTGAATATATGCAAGCAAAAAGAAAAAAGAATTTTTAAAATGAGAATAGTGGCTCAGTTGGTTCGAATACCATTCCATATACCAAAAGACTAATTTCTATTTCTGGTCAGGGCATGTACATGGGTTGTAGATTCAATTACAGGTTAGGGTGCATACAGGAGGCAATAGATTGATGATTCTCTAGCTTCTACTCCTCCGCTTCCTCCCCTACCGCCCGCCCCCCCCGCCTTTGCTCTCTCTAAAAATCAATAAAAACATAACCTCAGATGAGGATTTTTAAAAATGAAAATAGTTTAAGGTCCCTCTGGGATAATATCAAACATACCAAAATTTGCATCGGAAGGTGAAAGAGCTAGTGTTGAAAACCTTTTTTTTTTTTTTTTAGAAATAATGACAGAAAACTTTCCTACTTAGTAAAAAAAATAAACATTCAAGCCCAGGAAGGATAGAGTCCCAAACAAGACAAATTCAAAGAGGCCTACACAAGACACATAAATTAAAATGCCATAATCATGTAAAAAGAGAATCTTAAAAGAGGGGAAAAGTAGATAGAGAAACCAAGATGGCGGCATAGGTAAACAACTAACTGCAGCCTCACACAACAATTTCAAAAACAATTAAAATACAAAATGGACATTATCCAGAACTGCAGGAAAGTTGACTGACTGGAAATTCTACAACTAGAAGGAAAGAGAAAACCAGAAGAAAAAGCAGAGGAGCTGCAAAAGCCTAAGGTACAGAGACGTGGTGCGCACGGGGGAGAGGACGGAGCCAGAGAGGAGGGGCAGCTGAGTGCCTGGCTGGCGTTCCCTAGCAGGAAGGAGATAAAAGCTCCAGACTGTGCTGAATACCAGTTCCGACAGCACTGAACCCCAGTTCTCAGCCAGACCCTGGGGACCCAGGCTCATACAGTGGGAGTCTGGGCTGTAAGGCGGAAACTCAGGGGAGCTGTGAAAGGCAGCCCCAGAGGCGTGCACATTGCGCGCAGAGGACAGACTGTTGACTGTGCCGCTGGATTGCCCTAGCGGGAAGGAGACAAAAGCTCCAGACTGCTCTGAACTCCACTTCCAACTGCACTGAACCCAAGTTCTGGGCTCATTGGGGGAGAGCCTAGACTTTGGTAGCGGGCGAAACTCGAGGGCATCTTTCTCTCAGAGGTACTTGCAGTGAGTACTGAAGGACACTGAGGAACACTGAGACTCAGGAGCCTCATAGGGTGGGGCTGACAGGAAGCCAAGGCTGTAGGCTCCACCTGAAACTCCGCCCCATCCAAGCTGAAACTCCGCACCATCCAAGGTGAAAATTTTGCAATTTTCCAAGTCTAGTTGAATAAGGCTGTCTCCGGGCATAGACACAGCTGATCCTCACAGCTAATTGGCCTGGAGGTCAGTTCCTCCCAGTGATACCTACAACAATCAAGACTTAACTACAACAAGGCTGTACACACAGTCCACAAAAGGGGGCACCAAGAGTGTCCACCTCAGGTAACTGGGAGACTGACCCACTGAACCATATAGGACACATTAGCACACAAAGCCACCTACCAACTCGGAAGCAGCGAAATGCCAAGACAAGGACACAGATCACAAATGAAAGAAATGGAGGACAAAAAGTGACTAGATATAGAGTTCAAAACCACAGTTATAAGGTTTTTCAAGAATTTCCTAGAAAAGGCCGATAAAATAAATGAGACCTATAAGGATATGTAAAGGGATCAACTAGAAATAAAGAATACATTGTCTGAAAAGATATTATACAGAGTCCTAAAAACAGAATGGAAGATCGCAAGAATTAAGTCAAAGATTTGGAACATAAAGAGGCAGAGGACTCACCTCCACAGAAGCAAGAAGACAAGAGCATCCAGAAAGTTGAAGATAATGTAAGAAACCTCTGGGGCAACTTCAAGTGAACCAACATCAGAATTATGGGGGTCCCAGAAGAAGAAAGAGAGAGCAAGATAATGAAAACATACTGAAAAAAATAGTGACCGAAAACTTCCCCTACCTGGGGAAAGAAATAGACTTACAAGTCCAGGAAGCACACAGAACCCCAAACAAAAGGAATCCAAAGAGGACCACACCAAGATAAATCATAATTAAAATGCCAAGAGCAAAAGACAAAGAGAGAATATTAAAAGCAGCAAGAACAAAGCAGGTAGTTACCTATAAAGGAGCACCCATACAATTGTCAGCTGATTTCTCAACAGAAACTGAATGGGAATGGCAAGAAATACTCAAGGTGATGAATAGCAAGACCTACAGCCAAAAATAATCTATCCAGAAAAGCTATTACTCAGAATCGAAGGCCAGATAAAGAGCTTCACTAATAATAAATAAATAAATAAATAAATAAATAAATAAATAAATAAAGCTAAAGGATTTCATCACCACCAAACCAGAATTATATGAATTGCTGAAGGAAGTTCTTTTGGAAAAGAAAGTAAATAAAAAAACTATGAACAACAAATACGTAACTATCAACAAGTGAATCTAAAAACCAGGGGAATTAAAAAAAAAATCTGATGAACAATATTAACTGGTTAATATAATAGAATCAGAGGTATGGAAGGGGAGTGAACTGACAATTCTCGGGGAAAAGGGGAGAGAGGGTGGGAAGAGACTGAACATAAACTGTGCACCTATGGATGAAGACAATGGGGGGTGGGGAAAGGGCAGAGAGTGGGGTGGGAACCTGGTGGAGGGGAGCAATGGAGGAGGGCCGGAAATGAGGAACATTGGTAATAATACGAACAATAAAGATTTATTTAAAAAAAAAAAAAAAAAAAAAGAGAGGAAAAAAAAGTAGTTATTACCTATAACAGAGCTCCCATGCCCTGCCAGCTGATTTTACAACAGAAAATTTGCAGGCCAGAAGGGACTTGCACAAAATATTCAGAATGATGAAAAGCAAAGACCTACATCCATGATTACTTTATCCAGCAAAGCTATCATTTAGAATCAAAGGTCCGCTAAAGAGCTTCCCAGACAAGAAAAAGCTAAAGGAGTTTACCACCACATCAGTGTTACATGAAATGTTAAAAGGGCTTTTAAGAAAAAAAAAAATCAAAACTAATAAGAGGACAATAAATCATATCTAACAGCAATTACTTTATTTTTTTATATATATTATTTTTTACAGAGAGGAAAGGAGAGGGATAGAAAGTCAGAAATATCAATGAGAGAGAAACATCAATCAGCCGCCTCTTGCACACCCCCTACCAGGGATGTGCCCGCAACCAAGGTACATGCCCTTGACTGGAATTGAACCCAGAACCCTTGAGTCTGCAGACCAACGCTCTATTCACTGAGCCAAACCGGTTTCAGCAGCAATTACTTTAAATGCTCAAATCAAAAGACATATACAGTGCTCAGTTGGTTTGAGTATCATCCCATATACCAAAAGGTTGTGAGTTTGATCCCAGATAGGCTGCAGATTTGATCCCTGGTCAGGGCTCATACAGGAGGCAACTGAGCCATGTTTCTCACATCAATGTTTCTCTCCCTCTTTCTAAAATCAGTTTAAAAAAAAATCCTCAGACTGGGATTTATCAAAAAGATATATGGTGACTAGAATAGATAAAAATTATACGAAACACAACATCAAAAGACAGACTAAAAGTGAAGGGATGGAAAAAGATATTTCATGAAAATGGAAATAAATAAAAAACCAGCTGGGGTAGCAATACTTATGCCAGACAAACTAGACTTTAAAACAAAGGATACAACAAGAAACAAGGACCCAGCAACTCTACTTCTATATATTTATTCAAAGAAACATAATAAATCAGAAAGACATATACATCCATATGTTTGTTTATTTCATCATTATTTACAGTATTTAAGATATAGAAACAACCTAAGTGTCCACCAATAGGTGTATTGATAAGTGGTATATGTGTACAATGGATTACGACTCAGCCATAAGAATGAAATCTTGCCATCTGCAACAACATGGGTGGGCCTAAAGGGTATTAGATGAAATTAAATAAGTCAGAGAGAAACACAAATGCTTGATGATTTCACTTATATGTGGAATAAAAAAAAAAAATGACAAAAACAGATACAGAGAACATTTTAATGGATGCCATATGGGAAGGGGATTGGGAGAAGAGTGAAAAGGGGAAAGGATTTAGAAGTACAAATTGGTACTTACAGGGTCACAGAGATATATCGATAAAGTACAGCCTAAGGAATACAGTCAATATTATAACTATGGTGTCAAGTGAGTACGAGATTTATCAGAATGATCACTTACTTATATAATGTCTAATCACTTTGTTGTATACTTGAAACTAATGTAATATTGTACATCAACTAAAATTTAGAAATAATTTTTTAAAAAACAGAACGAAAAGGAAACAGGCTCAATGGCTCCTATGTGGTGCCCTTTTTCAGTGTTATTACTAAATAGAAAGAGGAGTACTCTATTTAGTAGTAACACCTGCCTAAAAAGCTTAGCGCTAATATGAAACTGTTCTTGCTCTTGGGTGGTTATACACAAAACCACTATAATCCTGACTGTGTGTTGCTAGAGCCTTCTCCCTTTCACTGGTATAATGTCTGATGACAATGAGGAACTGAGACCCATGTCCCATCAATGGTAAGAGGATCTAATATGTATGCAAAGCTAGGCACCATGAAAAGAAATACAAAATATGTATATCTCTGCCCTTTGTCTTGTAATGGCATGTAACAAAAGACTGGCTCTAAGAGTGTTACTGCAACTTTCCAGTTTATCCTGAGGAAAATAAGGTGGAAATAGAGGTGTAATAGTAAAAACTGACATATGATCTGTCACTTCCCCACCACAGACTTCAGGGGCAGGAAGTCTTGTAAGGAAGAGGTTATCCTGTCTGTCTTCCCTGGCTTTGGTCATTGTCTGTGTCCTAAAATGCCTTTTTTATGTGAATTGGAAAGAGACTGTCATTTTGTTTTTGTTAGCAGGTCTTCCATGCGGTGACTTCCCTTGGGCTGAATGAACAGGAGCTGTTATTTCTTAGCCAGTCAGCAGCTGGACCTCACTCTTCCCTCTCTTCTTGGAGCGGTGTTCCTGATGTGGGCATGGTCAGTGACATCCTATTTTGGATCTTGAAGGAACACGGGAAGAGTAAAAGCAGAGCCTCAGACCTCACCAGGATCCATTTCCACACGCTGGTCTACCACATCTTAGCAACTGTAGATGGACAGTGGGCCAACCAGTTGGCAGCCGTGGCTGCAGGAGCTCGTGTGGCTGGGATACAAGCCTGTGCTACAGAAACCATAGATACCAGCCGAGTGTCCCTGAGAGCACCACATGAGTTTCTGACTTCCCATTCAGAGGTAGGTTCTAGGGTCATATTCAACCCCGATGAGCCAGTGATAGAATGGCACAGGGAGGGGGTGTCCTTCCACTTCACACCCGTATTGGTATGTAAAGATCCTATCCGCACTGTGGGCCTTGGAGATGCCATTTCAACTGAAGGTCTCTTATATTCAGAAGTACACCCTCGCTATTAGGAAGGTTGTTATGGATAATTATTCTGAAGAAGGAGAACTAACCAATTTAAGAATTAATAGGAATTAAGTGGTTTGGAAAACAGGATTGAGGTATCAGAACAGTTTCTAGATTTAATTCAAAGACAGCCAATAACACAATAATAGATTAAACTATCAGATACATTCCTACCTGCTGACAATTATGCAAACATGTTTCAGGTTTTAATCCAAATTTACTGAGACTGGATTTTTAGTTTTTTTATGTTGTGTTATATGGTTAAAAAACAAGATTCTAAAACCCCCCGTTTACATAGCTTTGTCAGGTATTTCAGGCCAAATGTCTTTACCCTGGCTGGAGTGCATGCCAGCTGGAAAAAACATCTCCCTCCTTCCCACTCAGAACTGCATGCTCACTCATCATGTCTAGAAAAGCCCACGGTGAGCCTCTCGTGTCCTCTGCTCAGCATTCATGGGCAGGGTCATGACTTCCATTCAGTGTTATAATGAAAATACTTGATGAGCACAACTTAGTTTTCTAAGTCAGAGCATCAAGTATAGACAAAATCACTCTTCCTGTGCTTCATTCTCAGTTAGGTGGGAGCCCTATGGAGCCTAGGAGAGAATTGGCCATTCTGCCCTGGTTTAGAAGCCTGGCTGACCATAGGGTGGGTAACCATGTGAGCTGAAGGGCTGTGCCTTCCTGCCCTGGCTTCTTAGATTGTAGGCCAGCTGGTCAGAGACTACCATTCTGGGCCCAACCTTATTGCCAAGCTCTGGACATACTTTCTCCAGTAGAAAACTAATCTCTGTTTATTCTTGTCCTTGAAGGAATTTGCTTTTACAACTGGAATATGTTTTTGTGTGTACCTGATCATGTGTGACCATACCACATCCATTTAAGAGTTTGAACTCATAAGAGCCCAGGATCATGAAGAAATATGTCATGTTATGTATTTATTTTTTATAAATCAAAGAGACCTCTGTGTGCTTTTAAATATATTAAAAACAATTACATTTCAGGAGTCCTAAGACTCTTTGCAATTGATTTTGTTCTACCTACCATTCTGGAGCCAGATACAGTAGAACTCATTCCAACTTTTACTTGTGAGTTCTGTTACTCACTCTTGAGGTGTTTGTCTTCTCTTCCCAATCACTGGTTGGCAGTCCCTGAGACTGAGCCTCTGTGTTTTAAAGTGACAGACGATACCAATATCAAGTAGCCAATCCAGTGAGAAACAGCAGCTTAAAGGATGGTGAGTCTTCTTGGTTTGTTCAAAGAGCAATATTGATATGGCAGTTGCTGGCTCACAGCAGCAGCTTCTGGAACCTCAAAGCTAGCTCAAGTTCTTCATTTGTGACCGCTCCTTCCCTACTTTGGGTAAGAAGAAAAGGCTTGGTTAATCCTTCAAGAAAATTTAAGCCTGGAGAATTATGCAGGTTGAATTCAAAACAAGTAGTTTAAGGAAATCTCTGGCTGCTACCTCATCAGTCTCTGTCTCCAACTTCAATTAAATACCAATTTTCTAGCCCAGTGGTCAGCAAACTCATTAGTAAACAGAGCCAAATATCAACAGTACAACAATTGAAATTTATTTTGAGAGCCAAATTGTTTAAACTTAAACTTCTTCTAAGTTTGGAAGAACCACACTCAAGGGGCCAAAGAGCTGCATGTGGCTCGAGAGCCACTGTTTGCCAACCACAGTTCTAGCCTATATTACTGGAAAGGCTTATGTCAGTTCTATTTTCTCAAAAAGAACTGAAATTAAGATAACATTTATGTTCTAAACCTGAAAACACTTTGAGAGTTCCAAAGTGTTCTCCAGGTGTCTTCTCAGGACCTGATATTAGTTTATTTTCAGCAAGTTCTCCAGTTTTCACTGGTGATATCAATAAAGACTGATCCAGGATATGTTGTCAGCATATACTTTAGAGTAGTTTTTCAAAAGACGAGTTTTGAACTTTTAATACTTGCAAGTCAGTTTTGTGGTTATCATAAAAAGTATCAATGCACCATACATTATAGGAATAGGTATTGTAAGTATTGTTTTGTAGAATTTGACATATGCCTGCATGAGTGCATATATGTATGAATTTCCACCACCTAGTGCAGACCATGCAGAAATGGGTGGGAAAAGCACACCCTTCAACCCTTCACTTTGAACTATATTTTACAAAGGTTTTCACATATGATTTGATGCAAAGTGAAAATCCACTGGACTAGAAAAAAATACCTGGTGAAAAATGAGACTTCCTAAAAATATTTTAACACTCACTTTTGCCTTCATTTGAAATTGATTTAATACTGGGGAAAAGCTACCACACACACACACACACACACACACACACACACACACAACACACACACATACACACACACAAATTAATCATGAGATAAGAATTCGGCCAAAAAATCAGTAATGTCTGATGTATATTCAGTTTGCATCTTATTCTCTGTCGAGTTTAAGTGGGGAAAGGGTAATTATTCATCCGTAGAAATCCAAATTCTATGCAGGATTTTGAGATGACAAGTATTATATAACATTGGACCAGTATGACATACTGTGGCTCACTTTCCTCATCTGTAAAACCCTTAATAGTGGTCCCTACCCTCTTAGGGTTCTTGATGACTAAAGGATAATGCTGTGCAAAATAATTAGCACAGTACTTGGCATATATTTAAAGGTTTGATAATTGTCAGTTACTATTACTAAACGGAAAAGAGAATTTACTTGGACTCTAGAACTATTTTAAATCATTAAAATGTTACCCATGACAATTTCAATTTAAAAAAATTATTTTTATTAAGGTATTAATATCTCCCCCATTACCCTCCAACTCCAACCCCCTTCATGCCTTCACACACACCCTGGTATTTGTGTCCATTGGTTGTGCTTATATGCAAATCCTTTGGTTGATCTCACCCCTTACCCCCACCCTCTCCTATCTTCCCTCTGAGGTTAGATGGTCTGATCAATGCTTCTCTGTCTCTGGATCTGTTTTTGTCCATCAGTTTATGTTGTTCATTATATTCCACAAATGAGTGAGATCATGTGATATTTATCTTTCTCCATCTGACTTATTTCACTAAGCATAAGCATAAACTTTCTCCAGATCCATCCAAGGTAGGAGTTCCTTCCTTGTTATAAGCAACATAGTATTCCATTGTATAGATGTACCACCATTTTTAATCCACTCATCTGCTGATGGGCGCACTTGGGCTGTTTCCAAATCTAAGCTTTGGTAAATTGTGCTGCTATGAACATGGGGGTGCATATATCCTTTCTGATTGGTATTTCTAGTTTCTTGGATATATTACTAAAGTGGGATCACTGGGTCAAATGGGAGTTACACTTTTAGTTTTCTGAGGAAACAACATACTGTTCACAATGGCTGCACCAGTCTGCATTCCCACCAGCAGTGCATGAGGGTTTCTTTTTCTCTGCATCCTCACCAGCACTTGATTTGTTGATGGTAGCCACTCTGACAGGTGTGAGATGGTACCACATTGTCGTTTTGATTTGCATCTCTCAATGATTAGTGACTTTGAGCATGCTTTCATATGTCTCTCAGCCTTCTGTATGTCTTCTTTTGAAAAGTATCTATTTAGGTGCATTGCCCCTTTTTTGATTCAGTTGTTTATCTTCCTTTTGTTAAGTTGTATGAGTTTCCTGTAAATGTTTGAGATTAAACCATTATCAGTGATAACATTGGCAAATAGGTCCTCCCATGGCTTCTTGTTATTTTGTTGATGGTTTCTTTTTATTTTGATGTAGTGCCATTTGTTTATTTTCTCTTTAGTTTCCATTACCCTAGGAGCTATATCAGTGAAGATACTAATTTGGCATATGTCTGAGATTTTGCTGCCTATGGATTCCTCTAAGATTTTTATGGTTTCCTGTCTCATGTTTAAATTCTTTATTAATTTCTAGTTTATTTTTCTGTATGGTATAAGTTGGTGGTCTAGTTTCATTTTTTTGCATGTATCTGTCCAATTTTCCCAGCACCATTTATTGAAGAGACTGTCTTGACTCCATTGTATGTTCTTGCCTCCTTTGTCAAATATGAATTGAGTAGAGTGGTTTGGGTCAATTTCTGGGTTCTCTATTCTATTTCATTGGTCCATATGTCTGTTCTTGTGCCAATATTTTTTAGTCACATGCCCTTGACTTGAATCAAACCTGGGACCTTTGAGTCCGCAGGCTAACACTCTATCCACTGAGCCAAACCAGTTAGGGCTCACATAAAACTCTTTTCAACTAAGATGTTTTCCTTTATTTAAAATGTATTTTTATTGTTGAAAAATATTACAGATGCCCCCCCCCCCTTCTTTTTAGTCCTTTGATCTCCTCCATCCTGCACCCACCCTTCCAGACCTTCACCAAACTATTGTCTGTGTCCTTGGGCTATTCCTATCTAATACATAAAAATCTAGAAAGATTTAGAGTAAATAAAATACAAAATATGCCAGGTAAATACTGAACAGCAGAGCTGAAGTTACTGCATGAATACTGGATAAAGGCTTGAAGCCAAAACACAACACATGAGATAAAGTTAGTCATTGTAACATAACAAAAAGTTCCTTTCACTAAAGAGGTAAGATGGCTCCCAATACTTATACACATAACAGAACAGTGTGGGCATTCAGAATGAGCCTCACCAGGATATGTGTCAGTTTCATGCATATTTTTGAGCTAAGGGCAATTATAGCTTCAGGCTCAAGTGAAAATTTTGCCCCTCCCTTTAACGACATTAAAAAAAAACTGTATTAGAGGCCTTGCCCATAACACATTATCCTATATAATAAAAGGCTAATATGCAAATCAACCAAAAAGCAGAATGACCGGTTACTATGACACGCACTGACCACCAGGTGGCAGATGCTCAATGCAGGAGCTGTCCCCTGGTAGTCAGTGTGATCACACAAGGGGAGTGCTGCTCAACCAAGAGCCAGGCTCATAGCTGGCTAGTGCAGCAGTAGTGGGAGCCTCTTCCTCCTCCAAGACAGCATTAAGGATGTACGATTGATGACTTAGACCCATTCCCTTTGGGAAGTGGGCCTAAGCCATCTGTTAGACATCCCCTGAAGGCTCTCAGACTGAGAGGGTTCAGTATGGGCTGAGGGACCCCCTCTCCCCTCTGAGTGCATGAATTTTTTGCACCGGGCCTCTAGTTGGTGTATAAAAATGCCATAGATTTCTGGGTGTTAATTTTGTACCCTGCTCCATTGCCAAATTCATTTATTAAGTAATGTTTTTTATGAAGTCTTAGGGTTTTCTATGTACAGTATCATGTCATCTGTGAATAATGACAATTTTATGTCTTTTCCAATTTGGATGCCTTGTATTTCTCTTTCTTGCCTGATTTCTATGGCTAGCACTTCCAGTACTATGTCAAAGAGGAGTGGTGAAAGTGGGCATCCTTTCTATTGCTATTATAGTGTTGCTATTCTTAGGTGAAAAGGTTTTAGTGTTTGCCCATTGAGTACGATGTTGGGTGTAGGTTTGTCATACAAGGCTTTTATTATGTTGAGGTAGAATCCCTTTATTCCCACTTTGCTGAGGGTTTTTATCAAGAAAGGGTGGTGTTTGGATTTTCTCAAATGCTTTTTCTGCATCAATTGATATGACTATGATTTTTACCTCTCAATTTGTTTATGTGATGTATCATGTTTATTGATTTGCAAATATTTTACCATCATGCAGCTCCAGGATAAATACTACTTGGTCATGTTCTTTAGACTTTCATCTTTGAAAATCATATTTGGAACAGCATTATACCAGTCCCTTCACTGAGTTAAACAGAACTTTTGCATGTGCTATTATATATTTGAATGAGAATTATGCATTTAACACATGCAAAATTTTGTTTTAACAAAATAAAGCAAAAGATCACTTGATTCTTCACTGGCCCACAGAAAAGCACAAACTTGAATCATTGGTGTGGCTTAGGCTAATTTTCCAAATATTGTTAATAAAATTCATGTAGGAATCTTCACAGAGCAAAGAATTCTTTCAGGCCTACATATTCAGTATCTCCAAGGAGGAAGCCTGTTATTCTGTGTTTTGTTTTGTTTTTTAATACTCACTGCTTTTTTTTCATTGCATTTTTATTTTTTTAAATAAATCTTTATTGTTCATATTATTACAAATATTCCTCATTCCCCCCCATTGCTCCCCTTCACCAGGTTCCCACCTCACCCTCTGCCCTTTCCCCACCCCCCATTGTCTTCATCCATAGGTGCACAGTTTATGTTCAGTCTCTTCCCACACCTCCCCTCTCCCCTTTTCCCTGAGAATCATCAGTTCACTCCCCTTCCATACCTCTGATTCTATTATATTCACCAGTTAATATTGTTCATCAGATTGTTTTTAA